GTGCAGAGGATGGGCCCCTGTGCCCACCACAACCTCACGGCCCACAGTTCCTTTGAAGGTGCACAAATTTGTGCACTGGGCCCCTAGTATATATAAAAGACTAATATGCAAAGTGTCCCCTCGGGAGTTCGACCTGGAGAATGGGAGTTCAATCACTCGCTATGACGTGTGCTGATCACCAGGGGGCGGCCCGGAACATGGTGGGGGACCAGCAGCGGCAGGGCGCTGAGGGAGCAAGGGAAGGAGGAGGTGGGGAACCTGATGGGTCCTGATCACCGGCCAGGCCTAGGGACCCTACTTATGCATGTGTTTTGTGCACCTGGCGTCAAGTACTTGTATAAAAAACAAAAACTAGCATGATACTTATGCATCAGATACTGATACCCAAAGATTCAAAAACAAAAGGCAAAAAGAAAGAATATAATCTTGTAATTTTAACCACAAATTCTGCTTTCCTCCACGTCTTTTAAAACTAATTTATTTCAGGGCTCTGGGCTAATCTGCAAAAGATAATATAAATCAATTTATCAAGTTGAAGAGCCTCATCAATTTCATCATGATAAATTATTAGAATTTTAAATTATTATGTGATTAGTCTGCTGGGAATGACCTATGGAGGCTAAATGGGTTGTTCTTGATGTATTTAGAAACAAGAGATTGGAAATCTGAGAGAAAAAAAGCTCAAAGCTTTTAGGACAATTAAATTAGAACATTGTCTTCATGAGTCAAATAGACCAGCTATATTAAAAATAATGAATCAGCTATACCGTAGTTAGATTAGCTATATTAAACATAATGCCTGGCTGGTATAGCTTAGTGGTTGAGTATAAACACATGAACAAGGAGGTGCCCAGGTTGAGGGCTCAATCCACAGTAGGGAGTGTGCAGGAAGCAGCTGATTAATGATTCTCTCTAATCACTGATGTTTCTCTCTCTCTCTCTCCTCCCGTTCTCTCTGAAATCAATAAAAACATACTTAAATAAAAATAATAATGAATCATAAATTTTGACTGTAAACAGTTTGAGAACATAAAGCCATTTCTCCTCACACTGTAGATACAGGAAGTATAAGTTCTTACCTTAGACATCTTCAGTGAAGTTCCGTCAATCTGTAAAAATACACAGGCATATATCCATAATGCATACACGTATTTAACTTAGCATGAATTGATGTGAAAAACACACATAAGGCATCAATAGCTTGTTCACTCAGCTTCTCAATTACATCAAATACTTCCCCAGAAATGATAAAATTGTATCATTATAAAGACAAGTTAGATATGAATTAGTTCACAAAAGCAACCAGATATTTCTATGTATACATATATACATCATTCCATATTTTCAAGAATATTCAGACTTTCTTTAATAATGAGTATATGTTAGTTACTACAATCTCAGGTCACACCAGGAGAAGAGAAGTTTCCATGACCTCTGGAACTGGTCTTCTCTCTTTGAACCTTTTCAACAAGAAAGGGGTGCCTGGCTCAGCTGATTGAGCGCTGGCCTGTGCACCGAAAGGTTGCCGGTTCAATTCCTGGTCAGGGCACATGCACGGGAGGCAACAGATTGATGTTTCTCTCTCTTTTCCTCTCTCTAACCATGTCTTCAGGTGAGGATTAAAAAGAAGGGGTGCTTGGAGAGTACGGTGCTACCTGGCTGTCAGAGATTCCTAGAGTGCCTGAGAATTAGATTTTGGCACTGGGGCATACAGAGCAATATGAACTACATTTATAAGCAAAGGAAAAAGGACTGAAGGCAATTGAGTTTTGAGAAATGTGACAGTTTTAGAGTTATCTGGAATTTTCATGCAAATTTTAGAAGCCCTAAAATTTTGGGAAATGTGTAGGATCTGTTGGCTAACCTTTGGTAACAAAGTCAAGAGATCTGAATGCAGTCAAATTTTATTCTCTCTGAAGCTTAGAAACTTTATTAGAAAGCTTCTTTTAATTTTCTGCCCCCCCCCCCCACTTCTCCCAAATCTTTTCATGAATACTTCAGACTCTTAAGTTTCTCTACCAATTGGAAATGTTTCCAACCACCTCTGAAGAAATGAGGCCCCTGCACGCCAGTGTATGGCTTGGTTAACCAAGGTAAAGATAGGATTTCTAAGGAATTTGCTTCAAAGAACCAGCTTCTGGATTTTATTTAACCTTCTATTGCGATACTTTGTTCATCATTTCTTTCTTCTTCTTCTTTTTTTTTTTTTAGAGAGAAGGAAGAGGGAGAGAGAGAAACATCTATGTGAGAGTGAAACATGTATCAGCAGCTTCCTGCACACTCCTTACTGAGGATCGAGCTTGCAACCCAGGCCACATGCCCTCACTGGGAATCAAACTGGAAATCTTTTGGTGCACAGAATGGCACCCTACTAACTGACCTACACTGGCCAGAACCATTTTATTTAAATTTATTGATTTTAGAGAGGGAGAAAAAGAGAGTCATTGATTTGTTGTTCCACTTATACGTTCATTGGTTGTTTCTTGTATGTGCTCTGAAATCTTGCCTTAATGGACAATGCTCTAACCAAGCGAGCCACCTGGCCAGAGTTCCACCTCCCCAGTTTTAACAGAGTATAATTTATGTGACCTAACTGGGAATTGACCCATTGACCTCTTGGTTCATGGGTCCAGGCTCAACTGCTGACACATGTCAGCTGAGGACAAATTACTTTTCTTTATGCACCTCGTTTTCAGTGAGAAAGTTTTGATCTAGCAACACAAAATGCCAAGTACTGTGATTAATTTAATTTTTGGTGCAGATCAACTAGATCCCCCAAACCTCAGAAATGTGGTCAAATGAAAATTTTATTCTTTCAGGTTGTGTTCATTCTAGTGTTCTAGATGCTAGATCTTGTTTAAAATTTTTTTCTCCTTGACCCATGGCTTTCTTCTTCCACAAAGCAATACTTCCCAAGCAATACTCACACTTTCCAAAACAAAAGATGAAGAACGATGGATAAAACTGTATTCTTGGCAATATAAACATATTCTGCTGGTGGCATTTATATTAATGGACTACCCATAACTACCATTTATCGGCATGTTACTCTTGTATTTTATATACATTACCCCACGTCCACAAAATGACCCTGCAGTGTAGGACCTAGAAGGTTCATAATCCCTTATCTAGAGCCCCTGGAATGTTCTGGCATTCAGATCTGAAGAAGATACATGTACAGTATATCCCATAACACCGTCAATGGTATCTCGGACAGCACCCCACATCCAAATGTATTTTATGTAGTGACATGTATGACAATTAGCAAAAAGTGGGATAAATATGGACTATACATACGGATTCAGCCCAGTTCTGCTGCCAAATGAGTTTTGGTGCTCTCTCTCTGGAAAAAGAAAACTGTTTGTTTTTTTTTTAGCAGTTTGTCTTTGGTGTTGGATATAAAAAGGTACCTGAATCACATTTATGGATGATCGAGGTTTCACTCTCCCCTGCTCATTTCCCTAGGTCACCCTGCTAATCTGACCTAATGGAAAAGCCCTTGTTCTTTACCGTGGGCTGCTGTGCTCGGTGAGAGATCAAGATGGACAGTGGAAAGAAATATCAGGATATCCTTTCCAGCGGAGATCATTGCCAAGATTCGACAGAGCAGCACACAGTGAGTTAGGAAGTTGGGTGGTGCAAAGAAAGCCCGTGTGGGAACAACCAAAAATGGAAATCGTGAACCTCCAACTACAAACACCAGGAAGCAGCTTTCGTGACCCCTTACACCAATATGTCTCTCTCCTCATGACAGTAAGTCTGTTTTGGAACATACTTATTTTGAGGTATTGTAACAGTGAGTCGTTCAACAAATATTTGGGAACTTACTAGGTGAGGGTCACTGTGCTAGGCAAAGGGTAAAGGTGACTCAGTTCACACATCCCCTGGCCCTCACAGGACAACTACCATACAGTAAGTAGGACAAAGGCTAACATCAGGCCAACATCTATGCCGGCCGTAGGAAATCTAATCTGGACCAAGTCCTGAATAGCAGAGCTGGGACTAGGCAAGCAAAGGGCAGAAAAGGTGGGGAGGTAGCTGGGTTCTAGACAAAAGAAAGGGTTTGGGCCCAAGCCAAAAGAAAGACCACAGCAGTTTGAGCAGTTCAGTGTGGTTGGTCACGTGTCTATGGGGGCGGGCAGACAAGGTAAGGATGGCCCTGGTAAAAAAAATTAGGCGGAAAAGTAAATGGTGGCCAGGTCTTGTGGGTCCTGTGGACCACGTGAGAGTTGGGGCTTTACAGAAAGCAAGGGTAGCCGCAGATGGGCTTCCTCCTCTCAGGCCTTCAGGGGAATGGTGGGGCCTCTCCCCTGCAGCCAGACAGCCAAGGAGGCAAGGACTTCTGGAGGCCTCCTTTCTGCCAGGGACTAGCTAGCGGGAGGAAATCGTCCATGTCAAAGGGACAAAAGGATGGCCGCACGACAAAAGCACTCTCCCTCCGGACCACGACCGCCAACTGCGCGTCCCGCACCCCTGGCCAACTACTGAAACAGTTGCACTGAATTATCACACAGCGAGCAAGGGGTCAATTGGGTTCTCCCGGGACACACCCTGTCGTTTCCGCCGGAGCCAGGACTCCCGGGGGGCGGGGTCCGGGGAGGGCCCGGAAGGCTGGGGAGAGGGGAGAGGAGGGCCCGGGTAAGGACGGGGGAGGATAGAGAACCTGGGAGGGCGGGGAGGACCAAGGACCGCAGGCTGACAGCCCCTCCCCCACACTGCGCGGTCACCACCGCCGCTGCGCCCCCCGGGACGGCTAACCGCCATCCAGAGCGGGCTGCCGCGTATCCACCCAGCGCCCGCCGTCTGCTCGCACCCCGCCCCGCGGGCAGGCGGATTGCGTCATCACGTCGCCCCGCCCCTTTGCCAACGCATTCCTCTCCTCTGCGCGACCTGTCCTGCCTCCCCTCCCCCATGCGCCGGTTTCTGAGTGCGCAGGCGCAGGCTCGTCCGCGTTTTCCGCCTCTGCGCAGGCGCCGTGCCCCTCCCACGGCGGTTGGCCATATAGACGCTGGGGGTGGGGGGGAGGTCAAGCGTAGCCTCTTCTCCTTTACCAAGATGGCGGCTTGTCCCTGTTTCGCCACAGTTCCCAGCTTGTGAGCCCGATCTCCTTACGCTGGTAAGACTGGAACAGGTAATGTGATTCTTCGCCTGTGGGTAACTAGAGTGGGAGTAAGGAAGTCTCTTTAGAAGGAACTAAGTGACTGCTGAGAACGGAGGCGTTCGGGAAGGGCAGGTGGCGGTAAGAGTGCGGAGCGACCGCAGGGGCGGGCGCCTTCGCCTCTGGCCCTCTCCTCCAGGAAGATGGCGGCAGCACCGAGCTGGAAGCACTGGAGCTGGGCCGGAGTGGGGGCAGCTAGCGGACGAGCGGGCCGCTCCAGCCCTGGGCCACCGTCGTCTCGATGTCACGGGTCCCGGGGGACGTGGCCTTCGAGCGCCTGGGGCTGGGGCCTGTGCCCCAGGGGGAGGGCGGGGCCGCAGGCTCCTCTCCCCCTTTCTCCTTGCGGTCCGGGTCGCGAGGTGAGACCTGGGGGACACTTCCAAACCCACTGGGATCGCGTGGCTCGGGGACTCGGGGGTGGGAGGGCAACATGCCTGGCCGGGGCGGGACGGGAGCAGCGCTGCCCCCTGCCCTAGCCGGAGTGTCCTCCCTCCCTCCTTCCCTCCCGGTGGCCTGTAGGCCCAGCAGCCGCCCCACACTCTTGAAGGCTGTGCGCGGATGCTCTCCCACAGGAAGCCTTTGTAGATTGCTCCCGACTGAAAATAAACACATTCTTGAGTCTCTGACGTGCGACAGCTTCGTGTTGGGAACCTGAAGCTGTATCTGACACTAGCGCATACCGAGGGCATATTTTGGCAAGTGGTTATGTACTCAGGTGCAGCTGCCAAATATCCTCTCCCGCCCGACTTAGAAAATGGGAGGGTCAGACTTTGCATGGAGTTTGGATACCACGTAAAACGAAAGGAAATACATATTATGTGCTATTTATTAAGCAACGCTTCTGGTCAGATGAAGCATCTTCAGGAACGGATGACTGGCCCTTCAGTTTTGGGTTTTGTTATGGGTCCTTCGCTTCATGGCTCACTTCAACCCTCAGGCAATGACTTTACCAGTGTTTGGTATCTGCTTAAGGATCCTCACGTTATTGGCAAGTAGGGTGTTATAGTCAGGATTTTGTCTGAGGCAGTTGATTGATGTTCACGTATGGAAGCAAACCAGGAATGATGGAACATGGGAGGAAACCTAGTGCTCCAGTTTATATTTGACCATTTTGAACTGGTCAAATACCTGCAAGCTAAACTCATTAAGTACGTTTAATTTTAGGATGCTTGGAAGCAGTGTTTAAAGTAGCTGGGAAGGTGTTTCAAAGCCTTGAGGAATAACATTTGAAAGCCAGTTAATTTATAATGAGAATTGGACTTCCCTCTAATTGCCATTAGTTCAATTATGTGCCATGCATCTTCTGTAATCAGGTTAACATCACCTGGGTACATACATGTGCAGTGAGCATAAGGAGAGCACTTATGGGATCATTGGGGCCATATTCCCAAGCACCTCCAGGCCCTATCCAGTGAGCTAAGCTGACATCTCAGTTGCTTGATGGGAGAATTTCTTCTTGAATCATTAAGTACTAGAGGCCTAGTGCAAATCTGTGCCCTGGTGGGGTCCCTCTGCCTGGCCTGCGACCTCTCACAATCTGGGACTCCTGGGAGGAGGTTGGGCTGCCGGTTTCCGCGGATCCCAGCAGGCCAGGCAGAGGGACCCCACCTCCCAGGCCTCTAGTGTGCAAATAAGAACTTTGGTTAATCTCTTCATGCTCTCCCTCCTTCCCTCCGATGGTCAGTGCGCTTCATAGCTACCGGTTAGGCATATATATAATGTTTTTCCTTTGGTTTTGCTGTTTGGGGCTTCTTATTCTCTGACTTCAGCCTCATAACTTCAACAGTTCAAGAAACATTTATTGGGAATTGCCGTGTGTCAGATACTGTTAAGGAGTCTGAGAATGCAAAGGTAAAGAGGGTATAGACTTTTTTTCACTAAAGCAGTTTATGGTCTAGTATAGGGATTTTCTGGTAAAAGAATAATTAGATTACAGTGCTGTAAGTACAGTAATGGAAATAGGTCCAATATTTGGGTAGAGGAAGGAGAAGGCAGTAATAAGTTGGAAAGTCTTCAGAAAGAATGTAGTTATTAAACGGGTTTAGAGAATGAATAAGGGGTTTTCTATGTGAAGTTGGCAGGATGGGGTGTTCTAGGCAGGAAGATTAGCTAATGCAAAGGGGACGTGTGACAGCTATAGCTTGGCATATATGGGCAAGAGCTTGAGAATTTGGTATGCTGCCAACCTCTGAAAGGGTGGAGGGCTTGTTGAGACCCTGTTGTGAAGGACTTCAGGCCCTTTAGTTGTCCTATCTAAAACACTGTTTGGGGCAGGGTTTCAGGTGATCACACTGTCTGCCAGGATGACTTGTGACCTTCAGTCACAAATGGATCAGGTAGATTCTCCATTAATGCTTCCCAACTGAAACATTCATTTACCAAAAGGGCTTGAGCAGAGAACACACTTTTTGAACTACCGATGGTATTCATACTGGTATCACTCCTTCAGTACACATTCCTCCCACAGGGCTGGTGATCATACATAGAGAGGCATTTTCCTTTTCTATTAAGAAATAACCAAGCTCCTGGAAGAATCAGCACACAGCTGAGTTCTCAATTGCTCTGTTATGGCTGCAAAAAGTCTCAAGATTCATGTTATAAAAGTTTTTGACCCAGTAGAAAAGCAGCCAGAGAACATGCCTTTTCCCTTAGAAGCACCACACATTCAACATTGAAAACCAAAAAGAGAAGCTCATGTGTATGACACTTTAAAAATTGATTATACGCTCTAGCCGGTTTGGCTCAGTGGATAGAGCATTGGCCTACGGACTGAAAGGTCCCAGGTTTGATTCCGGTCAAGGCATGTACCTTGGTTGTGGGCACATCCTCAGTAGGAGGTGTGCAGGAAGCAGCTGATTGATGTTTCTCTCTCATTGATGTTTCTAACACTCTATCCCTCTCCCTCTCGGTAAAAAAGAAATAAAATATTTTTAAAAATTGATTATACACGTTATTTTGGGCTAAGCAAGATTTTCTTTCTCAAATCAGAGACATTTTTAAAGTGACATCCCTAGTAGGCTGTTATTTTCCGAGCACGCTGAAATTCCTCGAATACCGCTAAATACAAGCCAGACATCTTGTTCCAGGCATGTCTGGGCATTGTGTGGAGTTAGTCATCTTTTTTTAAAAAAAATATATTTTATTGATTTTTTACAGAGAGGAAGGGAGAGAGAGTTAGAAACATCAGTCAGCTGCCTCCTGCACATCTCCCACTGAGGATATGCCCGCAACCAAGGTACATGCCCCTGACCGAATCGAACCCGGGACCCTTCAGTCCGCAGGCCGACGCTCTATCCACTGAGCCAAACCGGCTTCGGCTGGAGTTAGTCATCGTGATGCTTGCTGTTAATTTGGTAAAATACATTGACTGCATACTCACCCTTAATACTTGTTATTTGGATTCATATGAATTTTAAAATAAAAAATTAATTTTATTTCAAACCAATGATGTATCTTCATGTTTTTAAGAGGTCAAACAAATCTAGAAAGGCTTGTAAGGAAAAATTATGACTAGCCTTCCCCAGGTCATGTTTCTTCTGCAGAGCACCCAGGCTTGCTCTTGGGTGATTCCTTTGGTCTTTATAGTATACTAGAGGTCGGGTGCACAAAATTTGTGCAGGGGGGGGGGGCGGTCCCTCAGCCTGGCCTGCCCCTTCTCACAGTCCGGGATCCCTTAGGGGATGTCCTACTGATGGCTGCAGTCTGGCCTCCCTCTGCAGGAGGCGACCAGCTAATCAGGGGAACCACCGCCCCCATCATCCCCTTGCTGCTGCTGCCTCTGGCCTCCCTTTGCAGGAGGTGACCCTGCGATCAGGGGAAGGCGACACCCCCATCACGCCTCTGCTGCTGCCACTGCCAGCCATGAGGCTGCCTGAGCCTCGCCCAGCCCTCATTGCCTGAGCCTTGGGCCCTCGAAGGGCAGCGGCCAATGGCAGCTTGCTGGAGCACGGGGCCAGCCCTGGGCAAGCGGCAGTTGCCACCTGGCCACCAGGAGTGCTCACAGCTGCTGCTGCCATGTGGGGAGTACAGGCCACCCTCCGACGGCCCCACCCCCGTCCCCGCTTGCCCAGGGCCAGCCTGGGGTAAGAGGCAATGGCCATTGAGTCCCCAATGCTGCAAGTCCCCACCCACCTGCTGCTGATGGTTGTTACTGTGATGGCGTCCCAATCAATTTGCATATTACTAGATAGATGTGCTGACTTGCTTATTTATGACTCTTCCTCCATTTCATACATTCTCTTCACTTAACTCTGGAATAGATGTAAAGTTTCTGGTTTTCTTTTACCCTTTGCTGTTGCTGTGCAGACAAATACATGGCTATATAAGCAGGCTCATCTTTAACTTGGACAGTTCAGAATTTAGTGTTTATATTATGACTGCATAGTCTCACAGCTAGGCCAGATAGTGTGATGGGTCACTTTATCTTTCCTAAATAAAGTTTTGTTTTCTATGAAGTTTTTATGAGTCTTGTTTTTTGGCTTAATTTTCTATGTATTTGTCACTAAAACTCAATGCCAAACCCACCTTTTTATCTTATAAAATTGTGTTTTTTATTAACCTCATAGTGTATAAATCTGTCCTAGGCCTCCATTCCCCATCTTCCAGTGTTATTGCTGAAGCCTTTATGTGTGACTGTTGTTGTGTTTGTTTGTTTTTCAGCTTAAAGGATTTTCTCACTATGAAATTCAAAACACGAAGTGTGATGATGTCCCTTGGAACACTTTGGACCCCTTTATTTGGAAACTCCTGTCCTTCAATGCTGGGCAGTTTTCCTGATTTATTACTTTAATTTCTTCCCATTCACTTTCTCTTTCTATGTTTTTTCCTTTTAATTGATTTTTTTTTTTTTCCCAGAGAGAGAAAAACATTGATCGGCTGCCTCCTGTACTCCCTCTACTGGGGATTGAGCCCACAATTTGGGCATGTGCCCTGACCAGATATATAACCTGTGATCTCTTGGTGCATGGGTCTTA